TCACTGCAGAAGTTTGAAGCACTTTAAAATGGGGCTTTTCAATATCTGGCAACCTCTGCTCTGTGAGATGGCCACTAATTTGTTTCCTGCCTCCTTGCTGGGGAACGGTCTTATTTTCTGTGCTTTGGAGTGGTCTGCAGTTTCTGCCGTCATGGCCTTCACCACCGCAGTTCTGGCATTTTAGGTTGGCTGTTACCATTATTATTTCGCCTCAAGGCATTGATTTCCCTCGTTAAATCGTCTAGACGAGCAGTAAGTTTTCCTACATTTTACTGGTCATGAGGCTCTGATTGGACGGAGGTCTCCACAGTTGCTTGCTGCGCTGCCTCAAACTTGGCCTTCATTAAAGCATTTCTGCTATTTGCAGGCTTTCTGTGAATCAGTGTCTTGGATACCTTCGATGAAGTACAGCAGGGACAGTTTTTCCCTTGCTTCTGATGGGTGGTCTGAAAAAACGAGATGAGACAGACTTTCAATATCTGTGGGGAGCACCTGGAGTGTTCCCATGGGCATCTGGTGATAATTTAACTGAAGCCAGCTATTTTTAAACACTTATCACCAAAGCGTGACTCCAATGTGCTGAATAGAGCTTCGAAGTCTAGTGGAAGTTGTTTGTAGTAATTTCTGTATTTCTAACAGCATCTTCTTCATGTGGTAACCCCAAACTGATGTGTGATAACTGTCTGTTTTATAACATGTGACACAATAAGAAAAATTCACTAAACAGATGTTCTTCTGAAATGTTTTGAATGTGATATACAGCCTTAAGATAGCACTCTATGTTAGAGTTGTTGTCTACTGTAATACTTTTCCCCTGTTTTTCCATTCCAACAATTGAGCTGCAAAAACAATTTTACAAAAACCACAACCTTAAAAAAATAAATAAATAAATAAATAAAAGGTGTTCTACTATGTCAATGACAAAAATAAAGATTGGTAATTTTTTCTGGATTTATATCTTAAGGAATGCCTTGTTTGCGTGAAATATAACGCTAGTAATGCCAGTTGGTATCCTTTAAAAATATTGATTTCGAATGATGTTTACTCAAAAAGAAAACTGTTATGTGCTTTAATGCTATCATTTATATACACTGCTCAACATTAAAAATGCAACACCAAGAAGGAGCGGTCAGAAATTTATGGAAATTTTAGAGTAGACGCACGTCACTGAGTTATGTGAACGATATGAAATGTGCAGCTCTCCGACACACATGAAGTAAGATATAAGGGAAGGAACATGCAGAATGGGTAATATTCATGTTGTTATTTCTGCCAGACGAATTATCGAAGAAAGTTGCTTTTTGTCCCGGAGGATATGTGTAATAGGAGAGAATGCCAAACCGCCACCAACAAAGGCACTTCCGGCAGATAAGATGATTTTACGAGGGGTATGGTGATCGGACTGAGAAGGGGGGGTTGGTCCTTATGTCAAATTGCAGCTGATACCCATATGGATGGGCAAGCAAGGTGCATCGGCTATGGAGAATATGGTTGGAACAAGGAAATGCGGCAAGAAGGAGGGGTGCAGGCGCAGCCCAACTGATGTCAGCATGCGTGGGTCGACGCATCCGCCGACAAGCTGTGGCAATCCTGCAAGTAACTTGTACCATGATTCTGCAACATGTGCAAGATACCCTGGATATTCTCCCCTGTCAACCAGAACCATTTCCCGTCGATTGGTTGAACGCGGCCTGCACTCATGGCGTCTGTTAGGAAGACTGCCATTGATCCCACAGCATAGGCGCCAACGTTTAGAATTGTGCCGGACTGGAGTGATGTGGATGACAGAATGGCGAAACGCTGAGTTCTCAGATAAATCACGCTTCTGTTTATCCAGTGACAGTCGCCGCATACGTGTGTGGCATCGACGTGGAGACAGATCTAATCCGGCAGTAACTGTGGAATGCCCCACCATGCAACAACGTGGCATAATGGTTTAGGGAGCTATTGCCTACGATTCCAGGTCACCTCTAGTTTGTATTCAAGGCACTATTGATGGCCCAACGATACTTGGATAATGTACTGCGGCCGACTGCAATCCCCTACCTTCAGGGGCTGCCTAATGCAATTTTTCAGCAGAATAACACCAGACCACACAGTGCTCGCATCTGCCAACATGCACAGCAAGGTATGAAGATGCTTCCCTGGCCACTGTACTCTACTGACCTGTCACCAATCAAACGTGTGGGATGTGATTGGTTGCTGTTTGCAGACTCTGCCCCTGCCTCGTTCAGAAGATGAACTGTGGCAAATGGTCAAAAGGGAATGGAGAGCCATCCCTCAGGACACCATCCACACTCTTATTGACTCTATGCCTAGATGTGTTTCTTCATGCATCACTGTCCGCGGTGGTCCTACATTCTACTGAGCCGACGCTGTTCTCGCTCTGTATTCTGACTATCATTTTGAAATAAAGATCACTTATTGCTGCTTGCGGTCTCTGTCTTTTTTCCAAATTTCATCACTTTCTGACCACTCCTTCTTGGTGTTGCATTTTCAATGTCGAGCAGTGTACTACGATACGGAAATGAAATTTGTATCACAAGGTGGTTATAAAATTTGTGCTACTAAAATGTATATGAATGCATGTGGCTCGGGTATCTGTTAAATTTTTTCATAAATTAATCAAGATTGCTAAACATTTCTTCCTCAAAAATCGAATTTATAAACTGGATTTTAAATAAAGAAATATTAAAATTTTATTTACTTTAAAAAGAAATTATCATGGCCAAGTTTCTCGGGGAAACAGAGGGAACTAACAGCGAACTGCCTTCAGAAGCACGGTGCAACTTTGGTAGACGGTTTCATGGATTTTGTCGATTTTTTTGTTAGCGAGCGATATGACTTATGGTAAACCCATTGCTAGATAAGTTATTTATGGTAACCAATACTTTTTCCATCGTCATTTTATTAAAAAAATAATGAATTTTATTATGCATAAATTCTGTGTTTTAAATATTTATGGCTTTTAAATATTAAAAATCAGTTTAATTTTGTATTTCTATTTGAAATAATATTTTTATTGTTTATGATGTTTTATGGAATTTTATGTTGTGGATGATGTAATGAATGATGTCACATTACTTTAAAAGTAATTAGTTTAATATCTATAAATTTAATCTAATGTTTTAAACATTATGGCTGTTAAATTTAAAATACAATTTAATTTGCATTTTTTTAAAAATAATTTTATTATGTATGATTATTTAAATAATTTAAATTCTATTCGTGATGTGTGCATTACCACGCCATTTTAAAATTTATTATTCATCTCTTCGAATTCTTAGATTACATTTTTCAAATTTTTTTCATTGATATCTAAATTATGATTCCAATTTTTTTTGCAGTACTTATCAATATACAATAGGTTAAATACTCAAAAAATGTAAGTACATATTTTTCTTTTACTTTATAAATGTATACTTCAATTTTTATTAAAAAAATTAATACACTGTTTTCAAAAATTGCCGAGATATTTATTGCCACATATTTTAATCTTAAATAATTATATCCTATAAAACTTATTTTAAAGGATTTGAATTCAAGTAATATTTTAATTCTTTTAAATGTTGGTATGATGTTTTTAATTCAATATTCAATTTAAGTAATATTTTAATCCAATTAAACGTTGGCGCAATGTTTTTATAGCGGTGTTTTTATTCTATTTCTTTGCTATATGAAAGTAATAATTCAACCTTACTGTAGTATTTTATACTCATAGTAAATGTATTTATTTACATTTGCCTGCCATCTTAAAAAACAACATTTTCAACAAAAAATTAATCCATTATTTTTAACGATATTTATTTTTCTAAAGTTTCGAATACTTTACTATGCGTAAAATATGTAAAAACAGCGTTTTTCAAGATGGCTGATGATTGTAAAAACTGCGCAAACGTAAATCGCCACAAATCCGTACAACTGTTTACCAAAGTAGCACCAGAAGCACTGAAAGCCAATAGTCTCTTGATAATGCACATAATTTTAACCTATTTATATTTTCCATACATGTACAGCCGATATTCAATTCTTTCAATGTTAAAATTTACAAAAATTTTAAATCCACCTGAAAATTTATTAGGCTGCTAGAGGAAAATGCACTTTCTGAAAACCTGACAGAGAACTGCCCTCCTCTCAACAAATACATTATTATGTTTTTGGACTTTTTTGGGGAGGGGGGGGGCAACATAATTTAATGTTTGCAGACTGACTGAAGCTACTGATACCAAAAAATGAATATGACGACAAAATCTGGATGACCATTAGTATTTTCAGTACGAAGAAATGTACTTATTCACTTTCAAACAAGTTCTCATAAATGTAATGCACTTTCTAGAGAGTAAGATTTCATCAATATGAACATGGGGACTTTTCTTTCTTTAAATGTCTCAATTTCTCTTTATGGGTTTGTTTCTCAAGAAAACAGCTGTATGCATTCAGATGTTATTATCAATTTGCAAGTCTTATTTACTGCTAAAATAAACTGTTATGACATCAAAGGAGTGTTTTGCTGAAACTGTGGTTCAGTTTTACAATAAGTTTAGAGCTTATTATTTAGGGTTATGAATAGAATTATACTTTTCTCAAAGTACCATAGGCAGGCTCTGGTACAACATACTGACTTTTGTATTAATATAAATAAAATCGACTAAAAATTATATAAAAAAATATTTATACGAAAAATCACATCCTTAATTTCTAAATAAGAAGTAAAAGCACTAATTGCAGTCAAATGCCAGTAAATTTGAAAAGTTGTTTATTATTATAATCAAGAGAAATTGCAGATCTCAAAACCTATGTCTCTAAATTGCTACAAATTTGATCACTAAAACCAGAAGTAATTTAATTTAATAATACAGATTTTTTTTAAATATGAAAATATGATCAATGGAGGGCTTTGAAAATTCAGACTTGCTTCTAAATATTAACAAGGCTTTAATTGCAGATAAATAAGGTGAAAATTAAAATTATGAGTAATAGTGAAAGTAAAATAAATAAAATATGTTGCTGCAATAATTTATTTGGAATGCCAAATATACATGTCCTTTATTTCTAAAAAAATTACTAACTAGTCCATAATTTTTAATGTTTGTATAGCTTCAATCACTTTTTGCAGTTCTCCTTCAGCCAAGGTTATCTGGAAGATTAAAAGACAAGAAATAGTTTTATTTTCAACTTTATCATTAACTTTTAAAAGTGAACAAATGAGACAATTCTTTTACACAACTCCCACAGACTACATTCAGTTTCTAATTTTAAATTTGTTTAAGGAAGATGAGAACATAGTTTTTCATTCTAATTTATTTCTTACTTTTTCAGCATGAGATTTCCTTACAGAAGCTGGAACTTTATTTTCATAATCAGGAACTTGAGTTGCTTGCTTCAATTTAGATATCTGAGAATTTAATTTTTCTTGCTTTTGTTCTAAGCGAGAAATTTCTTTATTTATGTCTATATGACCCTATAAAAACAATCACCACAGATATTTTAGTGAAAAATTACGAAAAAAATAATATATATACAAAAATCAGGCATTCATTCCTAAAACTAAAAATTGCAATATGTAATAACTAAGAGAATTTTGATATACTGCCAGAAGCAGTAAATGAACATATCAAGAAAGCATATATGATATAATACATTGAAGAGAAAGAAATCTGCAGATTAAATAATAACAAATATCTAATGTTAATGAAAAGCCAGAAGTTTCCCAGCAACCAATTAATTTCAGTCATATTTTGATTGAAATCACTTACTGGGAAACTTCTAGCCTTTAAATTCAAAAGTCTAACTATGTTATGGGAAACACATTAGACAAAACTAATGTGTATTGAAACTCATCTTTAAGTTTCAGTTCTGATGTGCTAAAGCATACTTTTATTAATTACAGTATCTCACTGACAAACTCACTGAGACACACCCAATAGCACATGTTGTTCAACTCTTTTGTGCCAATTTAAGAAGAAACATAACTTTAATTTCCGGTATGTCTATAGCACAGTACAGACCTTGCACTGGCAGACTGTCACAATTTCTAGGTATTGAACGGTGGCAACAAGAAACACATCTTTGTCAATGAAATAATGAATAAATTGAAACACTCCTATGTTTCTGAACCACCTTAGTTCTACAAGAACAAGATCCAAAATCTACCTGAATATTGGTAGAAAAGTCAATCATGAAAAAGTGTTCAATTTTTGAAATTATCAATATTTGATTTCATATAAAATAAATATTAAGAACATGTTTCCAAAATAGCAAAAATTATTGAGCAACCTAATAGTTACAATAGTCCTTTTAAATACACATTGTTGAATATTTAACTAAATCACTTAAAACAAATACAGGCAGGCCTCCTACAATGCAGCACCTTTACCACCTTTACAACAAGTTTTTACTCTAACAGGGTTGGTAAAATGCGAAGATTTTTTTACTTTGTTTACTTTTATAATGTAGGAAATGTATGGCAGCACCCCTAGTTTCCAGTTGGGTAAACCTTTGAGATATAGCATGCCAGCGGAAAAAGCAGAAACTTACCCCTAGACAGAAATTCTAGGAATTTCCACAGATGCACGTTCATTCTTGTGATTGAGAACAGCATGACAGCTGTGGCTTGCTTGCTTCTCCGGTATTGTAATCTTATGTAGTCATTATGAGCACAAATTAAGTAATTCCCTACAAGAGTACAACCCAACCAAGACTTTAATTAAAGTGGGCCGAGTGCTCAGAAATGTGCCATTTTCATTGTCACATACACTATACCTCATGACACTCTAATCTGAGAACACACACAATGCTAGAACCTCCTTTTCACCCTGTCCCTCAAGGTTATCCATGTGCACCAAACTGCCTGCGGTTTTTATTTTCTTACAGTTAGTAAATATGAGATGTAGACCACATGACTTCTTTGTACAGAATATTAAATTATACACACTTTTCCTGCATTTTAATTAAACTTTTTTGCTCGAATTTAATTAGAAATATATTTTCCATTCAATTAATTCACTTCTCACTCCCTGGCTATGCAAAAATAGAGAAAAACTCAAAATATCTTCATTACAAATTGAAAGATCTAGAAAAACATGAAATACCAAATACAGTTAAAATAATTTTTAAAAAATTCACAATTAAAATTACAGTTTCTACGCAAAAACAAGCATTTCGGCCAGCAGGCAAGAATGCAGATTTTTCGATGCACAAAACTAAAAGTTCTCTTTTGCTCCCTCTCGGCAAAAGGACATTGACGGTGTAGAAAGACTTAATTCACTATTCTGTTAAGTTTCAAATGTAAAGAAATTTGGCTGCTATGGTAAAAAAAATAGGCTTAGATGCACATAAACAACTTTCAAATTGTTGATAATTCTACAACTATTGCATGCAGATTAACTAAACTAAAGGCATAAAAACCTTAACCAGAAGATAAGAACATAATTCAATCATTTTTAAAGCAGAAAATGCACAAGTTACCAACATATAAGAATAAAAAAACTGAGCTCAAGAACTCATTCCGATAAAGCATTTTAGCTAATTCAATTTTGAGTGAAAAGCAATTTCTGCAGTAAAATTGATATCGCTTGAGTAACTGTTCCCCGACACCCTCGTGTTTATGCATTTTAGTTCAAAACTATTTGTAAAAATTAAACATTGGAAATTGTAATTATGAAATAGAATTCAATGTAATTGAAATAAACATTAGAAAATTACAAAATATAAGAAAAATATTGCAATCTTTGTAAAAACAAATCAAAAAATAAAAAATTTTAAAATTTAAAAAAAAATATAATAAGAAAAAGGGAATGAAAAGATATAAAGGTCAGAAAAAGCATTAATTAACTTACGTTCTTTCTAGTGGGGAGTGTGCAAAATGTTTTCTTCGCGTCTGACTTAGAAGGGTTGCGTTTCAGAAATTATTTTCCGACAGCGGGGGCTTTGAATTAAAACAGTCGGTAAGACTTGTGTGAAGTAATTTACGGCAGTGGGAGGGACTAGGAATTCTTGAGGGACGTATGTTGTGGAGCTCTTACTTGAGTGAAACTGTGTGTTAAAATGTTTTTGAAAATACTAGTGAATGGAAATTAATTAATTTCTGGCTAATTGTCGTGACATAACAATTAAGAAATTAAGAAAAGGAAAAAAGGAATTTTCACTGTCAAATAGCTATTTGACAGACTAAAGATTATGAAATAAGCCCATTTTTTAGTAACAGCATAAGTCTGAAGACAATTAGCTTTTTACATTATATACAGCTTAGTAATTACACTATGTACAAATCCTTCAACTGATAGTCATCCAACTTATACCGCCTTCTCAGGTTTAGGAATAAATTATCATATTCCTATCAGTTAAATGATTTAGAGTGAGTATTAAACGCCTGCTCTTTTAAGGCAATGGTTAATAAATTGATTGGGTATTAGATTATTTTTGAGAATTTTAAAGCCCCTGCTGCCGAAAAAGAATTTCTGAAACACAACCCTTCTGATTCAGACGCGAAGAGAACACTTTGCACACTCCCCACTAGAAAGAACGTAATTAATGCTTTTTCTGGTCTTTATATCTTCATGTACATTCCCTTTTCTTATTATATATTTTTTTTTAAATTTTTTTTTTAATTTTATTTTTTATTTTTTGATTTGTTTTTACAAAGTTGCATATTTTCTTATATTTTGTAATTTTCTAATGTTTATTTCAATTACATTGAATTCTATTTCATAATGACAATTTCCAATGTTTACCGTATTTGATGGCATATAAGACACACTTTTTTTCCTAAATTTGGTCTTAAAAGTTACCTGCGTCTTATACGTGAAGGACACAGGTTAACTTTCAATACTGAATGCTATTTTTAGCCCATATAAAGGTCTAGACACACATCACTTTTTCTACATCCGCCATAATTATTTTGCGCAAGCATGAAATATCTTTCACCAAATCGCCAAAGCTCGAAGCTGATGTCTAAGTTCGAACAGGTTCGATGGTCACTACGTCTATGGAGCCTTCTTCTTTACTAGACTTCTTTGAATCACCGCACACGTTCGGTATCCGGGCTACTCTGTCGAACATCTCGGTATCTGTGCTTAAACTATTTGTTTAAAAAATCCCTGGAAAATATGACACAGGAAACAGGATTAACTATACATTCAGTATAAACTAGAGTGTTTAACGCGCCAAAGTGGTGTAAACAGAGCAGCAGAAGGCATTTCAGTCCACACTACAAAAAAGATACGTACTTGGCGATTGCGGAAGACAACTGAAAACTGCTAAAAACAAAAAATAACCTCGATACCCAGCTCCTGGGCCTGACTTGAAAATGCCGTAAAAATGGGGTGATAGATAAGAGGAAATCTGGATAAAGTTTCACTAAAATGATCTCAATGAGGCAAGTATTTGCAGAAAAACATGGGAATCAGACTTTTCGGGTCTAGGGTGGTGCTCAGGTTCACGAAAACGCAGGCTTACAATGCGCACAAAACAACTATTGACAGAAAATGCCAGCAGATATAAGAAAAAATATAGCATTCATAGGTGTTAAATGCAAGCAATAAACTTCTTGAGCTCGGTAAATAGGAAATATGGACAAATTCCACTCATATTTGATGTCCATCCAACAAGACTGTGATATTAAAAGGTCTAAGGAATCACCATAAAACAACAGGTAATGAAAAAACCAGATACACGGTTGTTTAACATTTGTGCTTGGCCCAAAACTACTGCGTTTTTCATTTCAAAGAAAATTCCAAACGGTGAATTGTTCTGTTCATCCAAGGAGGAGGACCAGGCTTAATTTGGAAAACTGTGGTTACAGACTTATGGGCAAGCGACCTGGTGGATCTTAAGAAAACCCTCTCTTTTGGTTTGGATCAGTTAGTGCCCATAGACTGAAACCATAAAGAATAAAGGGAGAGAATTAAAAACCCAGTTAGCTGTCATTCTGGTGCTGATAGCCAATGCAGCCTTATATGTATCGGGAATAAGCCATTTAGGAAAAAGTAGAGAAGTGGAAACATGTGGAGGAGAGCCCATCAACCCTCAGGTAGAATGAAGCGGCCCTCCAGTTTCACAAGTGTGCGCGGGGTAAAGATTTGGGGACTTAAGGCTGCAGTAATTGTAAGTTCTCTTTTAAGAATGCAGAATCAGTAATGCTCTGACGAAACAGAAGAAGACACATTTTCAAGAAGGTATACTAGCGATGCCAAAAACAGTAGTGTGCGATATTCCGTTTTCAATGAAAGGATTTTTATGGTTTGAAAGTGATTAAGTCAATTCATATAGGCAACATTTTCCTGAATCGTTTTTTGTGTTTCTGCTTTATTTTGTATATGTTTGATTGCTTCCATTATCATTTATTATTATTGAAATTACATATCATGTTCGAAATAGCTTGCCGTTTGTTTATTTTCTTAATAAAAATATGTTGGTATTGCATTCATGATTGTTATTTTGGTTTTACGAGACGCGAGAACT